TCTAGACATAAATTTAGATCTAATATTCACAGTGGGAATCAATTCTTAATGCTCCATGTTGTTTGATAGGATGAGAGATCGTTGATTAAACAATATAGTTGAACTTTTGATAGAAGTTTAGACATGAACTCTGTTATGGGCGATACGTGACAATATTGACGAGTGTTTTAGGTTGCGTACAACTGATTGATAGATTTAAGCATTTGATGGGTAGATGAAATCCAATCCTGACGAGTTCTCTCCTTTCTAAAGAATGCATTATTTACTTTTTCATATGTTTTACTTTCCGCTGTTTACTCTTTAAAATCATTCAAGTCAAGCTTAGAAATATAGAGATTGTTGAACGACATTTTTTCCCTCGCACCGATCTCCGTGGATACGATAAAACCCGAAATTATTCCAAACCAAATCTTTTGCTTGCTGCTTTACCGCTTCGGAAAAATGGCGTTGTTGTCGGGGAATGGTGTTGATATTAAAAGCATTACGATAGTTTCTATATTTCTAAGCTTTGTACATAATTATCTATATTGTATATATATGCTTCTATAGATACTTGTTTTGCTTTTGTTTTCCATCCTTGTATATAATTATTTTCCATTTTGTTTGTTCAAATGTTGTATATATTTTGTTCCGTAATGTTTGTTCAAGTGTTTGTTTAGGACACTTTCTTTAGGTTTGCGCTTTGAAGAAAAGCATCGACATGTCTGTGAGGAAGTTACTAGTCAAGCACAATAAAGGCGTCGAGCTAACGACGTGAAACAAGTGCTTGTTGGGAGGCAACCCAACAGTTTTTGAGTTTGTATAGCTTTATGTTTAGTTAGTTTAATCTGATTTTGTTAGGTTGTTAGAAACTTTTTGTGTTTTGTTTCTCAAGCTTTATTTTTATTAGCTTGGGGAGATATGTTGTGATTGTTCAAATTTTGAATGTTCAACAAGGAAATGTCATGGTAATGTAAAGTTTAAAGAAAGTTGCATTGTCAAGGTATGTGTTTAGTGCTTTTTACAAAATAGCATGAACATGAACTTTAGGCTTTGTATAAATAACATGTCATTTATTCTCTTGCAATTCTTGTTCATTTGTGAATCACTTTAGTTCATAGCCTAAATGTGAGGTAACTTCCCATTGTTTACTAAATGCACAGAAGACCAACATCTTTGTTTAACTCGTTTGACCTATATTTAATCTTGTATTTGTGTTGATTGTATGAAAGCATGAAAATGATCAAGAAATTTTGTTTGATTTTGAGCACATCCACTTGACCAAATAGTTAATCTACCTTGTAAGTGAGTGAGAATTTGCTTATCTCCTTTGAGCCTTTGATAGAATCCATGTTAGTGTTGAGCTCATTTTTGTATTGATTTTGATTTTTTTTCCTTGAACCCTCAACCATTAATTGTAGTTTGAAATTTTACCCTTGCCTTAATAAGTTTGGGAGCATTCACGTTGCATTGCTTGGTTGAATTCAAGTTGGGGAGAAAATATTGGTTGTTATGCGGTTGAGAAAGAAAAATATTGAAAAAGAAAGAAAAAAGTGAAAAAGAAAAGAAAGAGAAAAAACATTGAAAAAGAAGAAAAAAAAGTATAGCAAATAAATTGTGCTAATAAGTTATTTGAAATGGTGTAACAATTGGAAGAAAAAAAAAGATGAGGGAAATTTGTGAATGCTTGAGAATTTGAAAAATTATCACTCTCATTTGATTAGGCAAGTATTTGTTTCATTGACCTTGAGAAATTAACCTTTCTTTGTTAGCCAAACCACGTTACAACCTTTTAAAGCCCTTGTGATTTTTGCTTTTATACTTTCAATATGAGTTTTTTTTAGATGAATGCATAATTTGAATTGATCTTTGCTAGATTGTTGGTGTGAGTTCAACCACTCATTTTTGTTTTTCATCCCTTAATGAAGTTGTGCGCTAGGAGTGATTCAATTTTGAACATATGTATTGCTTTAGAAATTTAGACATGTGTTTTGTGCTTGAACTTTGCTTCATTGTCATGGTGTCCTTATAGTATATTGGTAAGCATTGCTTTGCGTGTACTTTTGATATTTGTACCATAGTTTTTTTTCTGTTTGTAAAAACTTGTTGAGCATGATTTCTCGGTGATTGCTTTTCCTCTTTAGGTTGATTGATTCTTGTTTGAGGACAAACAAGTCTAAGTTGGGTAGAGCTTGATGAGTCCTAAATTTGATGTGAGTTTTAGTGTGAATAATTACCACTCATCGACTTTATTCATTAGTTTTATACCAATAAACCTCAACTTTTGTGTACATTTTGTATAATTTATGTTATAATGTATATTATGTGTTATCATGTAATATAATTGAGTTTGATTGTTTAATCTCATTTTTTAGGTATTCAAGGTGTTATTTAGTCATTGTAATATAGGTCATTGAATAAGCTTTCCAACGCTATTGACCATGCGTAAATCGGAGTTACGGTTCTCAAGTTATGATCGAAACAAGAGTTGATTTTTCTGTTATGGTCGTTAGGCGAGCTGGAGCTCACCGGGAGAGCTGAAGGTGACCCAAAGGTGTGCAAAAGCACTGTAGAATCAATAACAAAGGCTAATATGGCCTCTAGGCGAGCGCAATATTTCAATTTTGCTTATAAATTCATCTTTTCAGCATTTTTTAGGTATGATTTTGGAATTTTTTGCTCCCAACTCTATCACCACCATTCTTTTGTATAGAGAAGCTCAAAAACAACATTAGGAGCTGCATCTTGATAATCCGGAGCTGGATTTGTGAAAATCGTCCTGACACCACGTTAGTTACCGATTTAGTTTTGCTCTTCTCTTTGTATTTTTTTTATTTGTTAGGTTTTGTATGTAAGTTTACTTTATTTTATGTATATGTATTGATCATGGTGTTGTGTAATATTTATTTTACAAATCTATATCAATATTATCCTTTTTTACTCGCTTTATGTTTGGATTTGAGTTGCTATAGGCATATACTCTTCAAATCCGGATCTAGGATGAATATTTGTAAGGTTTTAAACTCTAGACATAGATTTAGATCTAATATTCACGGTGGGTATCGATTATTAATGTTTCGTGTTGTTTGATAGGCTGAGAGATCATCGATTAAATAATACGGTTGAACTCTCGATGGAAGTTTAGACATGAACCCTGTTGTGAGCGACATGTGATAATATTGACTAGTGTTTTAGGTTGCATACAACTGATCGATAGATTTAAGTATTTTATGGGTAGATGAAATTCAATCCCGACGAGTTCTCTCCTCTCTAAGGAATGCATTAGTTACTTATTCATATGTTTTACTTTCCGTTTTTTACTATTTTAAAACCATTCAAACCTAACTTAGAAATGTAGAGATTGTTGAACGAAATTATTTCCCTCGCACCGATCCCTGTGAATACAATAAAACTCGAAATTCTTCTAAACCAAATATTTTGCTTGCTGCTTTAGCGCTTCAGCATATACCATCACAGAGCTCCCTTTTTAAAGTTCTCGGAAATGAATTACACTTAAGGGAGTCGGAAGCCCCCCTATCATTTCGATCCAATTATTGGTCGCTATAATATGCTCCTGATGGTCGATTTTACCATCAAAATCTACCAATGATGGTGGTTTGAAGTTCTCTGGAACTTGATCATCCCAGATTTATCTCGGACGAAGGTTGGGAATCTGGAGGCACCTCCTCTTTATCCCCATCTTATTGACTTTGTGCCTACAAAACATGAACACTATCTTGCAAGGTTTCATTCTGTTGACAAAGAGCTTTCACTACCGCGAGTAGTTGGGTTAGATCTGGTGGCAGAGGTGGATCACTTCGATTGGGAGATGACCCAAACATCACACATCTAGGCTATGAGCGATTTTGATGAGGATTTTTGTGGGTCTTGGGCATGTTTTACTGAGGCCCCGCGGTGGACGCCAAATATTCTTGCTAAAAATGCTAAAAGGTTGACTTCCCCACCAGTAGTCAGGGAGAGCCTAAAATGATTGGTTTAAGTGTCTGTTTATGTATTTTCTCAGGTGATTCCCCCTAAATGATTTTCTGACATCCTTTATATAAGCCCTCCTTCCTTCCAACAATCATGATGAATCCTTTCCTCTTCCTTCTTGCATTCATGGCCCATAAACCACCGCCGTTTTATTATTTAATGGCTTGTAACGTTTTCTTCATAACGGTGTCGTTATGACCATTCATCTTCCGAGACCGTTTCCAGATGATATCCTTACACCAACGATGACCTCAGTCCATCAGAGCTCACAATCTAGCAACATGACGACTTCTAACTCTGTTTATTGCCCGACAAGGTCGGATTCTAGTTCTGCCTACTACCCGAGTTTCACCTAAACTATCCATATTTCATCATAAACTTCTTTCAATTTTATACATCGACTGGTCAAACTTTTTTCCTATATGTACATCATTAATTAACTTCGAGGGATACTCCACTTTCTTAAACGGATCATGTTTACTTTTCTACTGTTTCTATTAATCAATTCACACACATACTTTTTTGCAATTTAGTTTCACACCCTATGCAGATTTGTTGGATTTGGCATGCGGTAATTAGTGATTTGTTCTAAATTTATATATTTTTTGTTTATTCATGACCCATTAAAATTACTTCATTTGAGATGTTCGATTTTTATTTTCACTGGGTCAAATTCTCTGTCCTCTAGTCTTTTATTTGATTTTGTTATAATTTAATCTATTTAAGATGTTGCAATTCTATCTACACCCATTTGCTTTAAGAAAAATTGAAATTAAGCAATGTGAGCTCTCCTATACTTTTTTTACAAATATGTAAAGCATGACGTAAAATCAAAATTACCTTTCTACCCTGTCTCTAAACACCAAATCCAAAACAAACATTTCCAACCAATTTCACAGTACAACTATATTTTGATGTAAAATCAAAATTCCCTTTCTACCCCTGTCTCTATCAAATCCAAAACAAACATTTCCAACGAATTTCACAGTACAATTATCATCACCAGGGTCAACTCATCCTCCAACACAATGTCCCCCCAAAACACCTTCAACATCATCTTTTGTTTATTCATATTCCCCACAATAGCCACAGACATCCACGACCTCCTTCCTGATTACGGTTTTCCAAAGGGCATCCTTCCCAACAACATCGCCTCCTACACCATCTCCCCATCTGGTCACTTCACCGTCCATCTCGATTTCCCCTGTTACGTTCGCTTCTCCGATCAATTAGTCTACTACAATACCCTCATCACCGGAACCCTCACTTACGGTTCCGTTTCCGGCGTCTCGGGGATCCAGGCCAAGATGCTCTTCGTCTGGCTCCCTGTCACCGGGATGGAAGTTGATTCACGTTCTGGCATGCTTGAATTCTTCGTCGGAGCTTTGTCGAAGAAATTACCGGCGAATCAATTTCAAAACGTGCCGGGGTGTTCTTCAAAGGCTGGTGCATACTTTGTTGATCTGATTATGTGAATGAACAGATTCCATGCCTCTTGTTTACAACCGTCGAAGTTAAATTGTAAAATTGTAAATGATATTTCAGGCGGTGTGAAATCGAGTATATTAATAAAAATTGGTTTTTTTGTATTTATCTTTAGGTTTTAATTTGTATTTTTTCCATACAGCTTAGAACTATGGTTTCGGTTGAGACTATTTTGATCACATGTTTTCTGATTGGAGGTAACAAAGCTGCAAAAATTACTCAAACACCCTCGATGTTGTTCGTGAAAACATAGTCATCCGAAAACTAAAAAAAATCTATTATTTTCTCCGTCCAAAGTGTTTACCGCTATTATATAAATGAGGTTCGCCGCTATGATTATTCAGAAAATCTTAAATTCTATATTGATTGCTCGTAGAGTATGAAAAAAAAATGTAAAATAACATTTTTTTATTTTATAAATTGATTTTATATAAAATTTTAATTTTAATATGATATTAAAGCATATTAATTTTATATAAAAATTTTAATTCTAATATAATATTTTATGATATAGATAAACGAGACTCTAGTATATAATTAAACGATTAAACTTTTTATTATATCTTATAATGTTTTTATATTACTCTTAATCATTTGTTATTCTTAGAGATAAATTTAATAGCTTTTTATTAGTTTGTTAGAGTTTGTTAGAATTGTTATTAGGTTGTCATGTTTCATCTAAAACAATAAGAATACAATATATTTTTTAAGTTAACTTTCTATTATAACATTTAAGTATGGTTCTGATTCGGAAGAGATATTGGAGAATAAAAATACTTTCATTCTTATCATCTAAACAACTCTGATAATCCTGCAACTCCACTCGTCACAACATTGTTGAATGGAGAAAATTACCGCACATGGGCAAGATCGATGAAGACGGCTTTGTGTGTAAAGACGAAACTAGGTTCGATTTATAGAAGCATCAAGAAAAACCCATCAAGTTAATCTAAAGTGTACCATGACTGAGAGAAGGCGGATTCAATAGTGACAATTTGGTTGATCAATGCGACAAAATTAAATCTAAACAGCAGCATCTCACATGCTTCAATGGCTCGAGATGTGTGGGTGGATCTTGAAGAAAGCTTTGCTCATACCAATGCACCACGAATCCATCAGCTATGGAGAAACTTATGTTTAATGCATAAATAATCAAAAACAAGTGTAATAGATTACTGCACTCAATTCAAAAGTCTTGTTGATGAATTGAGTGAATTGCAAACCCTACCTGAATGTAGTTGTGGAGCTGCTAAAGTATTAACATAAAGCGAAGAAGGACAACGAGTCCATATTTTTCTTGGAGGCTTTGATAGTGAACAATACTCTCATATCAAGGCAACCATATGTAATATTGATCCATTACCCTCTCTTGGGCATGTCTTTAATCAAATGCAAAGAGAAGAATCTCGTTTTACAGCAGATAAAGGAAGAGATTCCAAGGTGGAAAATGCATCTGCGTTTTACTCAAGTGCATATAGGAAAAGAGGAAAGGAATATCATTCAAGATTAAAGTGTGATCAATGTGGGAAAATTGAACATGTCAAGGAAAAATGCTTTGAGATTGTTGGGTATTCAGTAAGTTGGGAATCACGAAGAACTCAAAGGCGAGAACCTAACAAATCAGGAGGGCAATAAGTAGCAAATTTTCTCAGGAAATTGAGAGAAAAGAATATCCAGAAGCAGCAACATCAAGACGCACCCTGCATGAAGTTCGTGCAAAAAAATCATGCAAATGCACATAAAAACATGACTGGTAAATTTGAATATTATTTTAATTGGATACTTGATAGTGGTTATTCACATCATATGACACATTTGACCTCAATATTGAAGAAAATCAGATAAACCTTTCTACATAACTACACTAACAGGGATTTCAACCTTAGTTGAAAATATGGGAGATGTAAATTTATCAAGTTCCCGTACGTTAAAAGATGTGTTATTGGTACCTGACTTTAAAGAAATCCATTTTCAGTTTGTAAACTAACATATTATTTAAATTGTTATGTGATTTATGATCAAAATTCTTGCACAATACAGTACCAAGCCTCGAAGAGGAAAATTGGATCAGGTGACCTGCATAAAGGGGTTTATGTGTTCACAAAGTAACATCAACAAGGCTTCATGGGTGCAGCTAAGAAGGACATGGAAATCTTACGGCACATCAGAATAGGACATTCCTCAAATCAAGTCCTTCACATATTTCACATTTAGTCAAATTCAATTTTGATAGAGCAAACCATTGTGATGTATGCCGCAAGGCAAAAATAATATAGAAACCCTTTTCCCTTTAAGTATTAATAAAATCGAAGCACCTTTTGAATTGATTCACCGTGACTTTGGGGGAATACCATACTTCCACAAAAAACGTATCACATTAATTTCTAACCATTGTAGATGACTACACTCGTGGAACATGGGTATATTTAATGAAACCCGAGACATAGTCTTTACAACATTTGATTAGTTTTAAGTTTAATATGTATAACTAGAGGATTACGAGTCATAATAGGACAAAGTTTACTAACTCTAATTTCAAGTGCTTCACTCAAAAAGAATGGATCATGCATGAAACTTCTTGTGTTGCCACACCTCAATAGAATAAACGTGTGGAACACAAACATAGACAAATTTGAATAAAGCACGAGCCTTGCATTTTCAAGCAAATATCCCATTGCATTTTTTGGGAGATTTTGTATTGACAACAACATATCTAATCAACAGAACCTCTACAGTGGAAAATAAGGAAATCACTTAAAACAAGTTACTTTTTAAAAGAGCACCAAATTATGAGCACTTGAGAACTTTTGGCTTCTTGTGCTACAAGAAAAATGACTCAAAGGGAATCAATCAATTTAATACTAGAGTTGAAAGGTGTATTTTTATTGGTTATCCACAAGGACAAAAAGGATGAAAAGTTTATAATCCAAATACTCGTGAATGTTGCATATCGAGAGATGTAATGTTTTATGAATATATATTTCTTTACCATGTGCAAGACAATAATGGGTACACCAATTTTAGAAATAAATCATCAAGTGATAACTTAAATGACGATTTTTCACTCTTTAATGATAAAGAATTGGAAGTACCAAGCCTTGGGGAATTCCTCATAATGACCAAACATCAGGTCTTATAGAAAGCTTACCCATTAAGAAGCCTAAATACACAGGTTAAACTGAGAGTGGGCTTATAGAGCTAGAACATGTATCCATAGATGACGTAAAAGAGGGAGTTACCAATGATTCTAAAAAAGAATCATCAAGTGAAAGTGAATGAGAAGTCTCAAATGAGAGGGAGCCTCAGAACTTGCCACATATAAGATGACCTCCAAATTATCTAAAAGATTATGATTGTGGCAAATTAAACATAAAACCCAAGTGCATGGTATCAATTTTAAAGTCCTCTTCAGATATCACATATCCCATCTTAAATTTTTTAGAATATGATAAGTTTTCACAAAACCATAGAGCTTACCTTACACCCATCACTAATGATGAAGAACCTCAATCATATACCAAGCAGTCAAGCACACAGTTTGGAGGGAGGCCATGGCTCAAGAAATCAAGGCTCTATAAGAAAATGAGACATGAGAATTAACTCATTTACCGCAAGGAAGAAAATTGATAAGATGTAGTTGGGCGTACAAAATCAAACATAAAGTTTCAAGTGAGATTGAAAAGTACAAGGAGAGATTAGTTGATAAAGGTTACACACAAATAGAAGTCGGAGACTTCAATGAAAATTTTCCACCAGTGGCCAAAATGACAACAGTCAGATGCTTGTTATCAGTTGCAGTGGCGAAAGGATAGGAATTATATCAAATGGATGTTAGCAATGCCTTCTTGAATAGAGAATTGACGGAAGAAGTATATATGAGTCCTTGGAAAGGATATAAAGTTCCAAACAAAGATTTAGTATGCAGATTAAAGAAGTCATTGTATGGCTTGAAACAAGTATCTAGATATTGGTATAATAAGTTATCTCAATCTTTGATAAAATATGGTTTCCAAGATGAATCAGATGATCATAGTCTATTTACTGATTCACATGGATCAATTTTTATTGTTGTTTTAATCTATGTTTATGACTTGATCATTCTTAGTAATGACCTTGAGGCCTGTGATTAGCTCAAGCAATATCTCAACCAATGTTTCCACATGAAGGTTCTTAGTTCGCTTAAATACTTCCTAGGTATGGAACTAGCACAAGGGTAAAAAGGAATATTCATTTGTCAAAGAAAATACACCTTAGACATTATACAATAAATCAAAATGCTTGATTGTAAGCCTTATTTGTTTTCAATGAAACAAAATCACAAACTTGCTTTGGCCAAGGGACCTCCACTTTTAGAATCGCCAAGGTATAGGAGATTAGTTGGACGTCGGATTTACTTAACTACCACTAGGCCTGGATTAACCTACTCAGTTCATATTCTAAGTTAATTCATGCAAACTCCACTCCAAGACCATTGAGATGTTGTTATGTCAGTCTCATGATATCTCAAATATTTTCTTGGCTAAGGTATCATTCTTCCACAACACAATGATCTACAGCTAGTTGGACACTGTGACTCAGATTAGGCATCATATCCAATTACCAAAAAGTTTATCTCAGGTTATCTAATGAAACTTGGCAATACTCTAATATTATGGGAAACAAAGAAACAAGCAACTGTCTCTCGATCCTCAAGTGAGGCTAAATATCGTGCAATGGCACATGGCACAAGTGAAATATTGTGGCTGTGTAATTTGTTTGAGACTCTGCAAGTTCCATGCATCAAACTCACGCTTCTACATTGTGGCAATCAAGTAGATATTCATTTAACTACAAAATCGGTCTTCCATGAAAGAACAAAAACACATTGAAATTGACAGTCATTTATTCAGGGAACATATATAGTCAGATGCCATAAGCATAACTTATCTACCCACCAAACAACAAAATGTTGACATTTTTACTAAGTCCTTAGGCGAGAAAGTGTTTCAAG